TCCTTCCCCCTCTTCCCTTTCCTCCTCTCCTCTTTCTTTCCCTCCTTTCTTCTTTGCTCTCTTCCTCCCTTCTTTCTACCCTCTCTTCTCTCTCACCTTCCTCTCTTCCTTCTTTTCCTCTTCCCTCTCCATCCTTCCTTCCCCTTCCTTCTGTCCTTTCTCCCTTCCTCTCTCTTCCTTTCCCCCTTTCCTTTCCTTTTTCTCTCCTCTCTTTCCCTCCTTTCTTTGTTGCTCCCTTCCTTCCTTCTTTCCACCTTCTCCCCTCCTCTCTTCCCTCCTTCTTTCCTCTCTTCTTTCCTCTGTCCATACCATTATGACAAACCCAAGTGCTGAAAGGCAGCCCTCTCCAGAGCCCCACCAGGATCTTAGCTGTAGAGCTGGAAGGAGCCCCTGAGCCTACCTAATCCAACAATATCATTTCACAGTTGAGGAAACTGAGGGAGGCCCAGGGAAAGTAATTTCTTGCCCAGGGAAGCACACAGTTGTATGTGTCTGAAGCAGAATTTGAACCCAGGTCCCCTGACTTCAGAGCTAATGCTCTTTTCGTGGTATTTCGCTTGCTCCAGGGTTCAGGAACCTGCTGCAGATTCTTCCCCCCAACCTATCCCCCACCTGTCCAGGGTCACCCGCCTGACAGGAAGCACCAGGCTAGGCTCCATCCCTCCGCTCAACCACAGTTACCATAGCAGAAGTCACAGCTGTGGGGACAGAGCTTCTTCATGAACTTCTGGCGGGTGTCACAGAAGCCCCTCCGTGCCCAGGGTGGACACAAAGACAGCCTGTCCTGGCAGCCTGGGTGAAAGGAGAGCAGCCATCTCAGGGGCAGGAGCCCTGCCAGGAGATGCAGGGGCCCCAGGGATGCTAGTGAGCAAGCCAGCGTCATGGGAGCAGAGTGAGGGAGGAGAGTAAACAGGCCAGGCACAGCTCGGGGCTGGGGATGCAGTGAGAAATCAGTCGATCCATCAATGAGCATTTATTAAGCACCTGTTAGGAACTGTGCTGGGCTCTGGTGTTCAAGTACAAGGAATGAAACAAGCCCTACCCACAAGGGGCTTATATTCTTTTTTTGCTTTTTTTTTGCTTTTTGGTGAGGCAATCGGGATTAAGTGACTTGCCCAGGGTCACAGCTGGTAAGTGTCAAGGCCAGTGCTCTATCCACTGTGCGATCTAGCTGCCCCAAGGGGCTTACATTCTAAGGCGGGAGAAAAGGATATGCAAAAATCTATATGGCATTAACATATGTGGGTGTACAGCCAAATCCAAGGCAGTTTGGGAGAGGAGGAGGGCCCTAACAGTTGGAGGAATCAGGAGAGAGTTCATGCAGAAAATGACCCTGGAGATACACCTGATGAGATGAAGTAAGGAGGGTGCCTACCAGGCAGGGGGCCCAACCAGTGCAAAGACGTGGAGACGGGGAAATGGAATCTCGTGAGGAACAGAGAGAAAGCCTGTTTGGACCATCACAGAGTGAGGAAGAGAGGGATGAAGTAGGCTGAGCCCACAGAGCTGGGCACGCAGGGGCCAGGCAGAGCGCAGAGTTGGGCACACGGGAGCGGCACAGAACCGTCACTGGGGACACAGCTGGGAAGACAGGGACCGAGCAAGCTAAAACTGGACACGCGTAAGTGGTCCCATGGAGCCGGGAAGACTGCAGGGCTGAGGACCGAGGGCCAGGAGCACCAGGGCCAGGCATGCACAGGGATAAAGGCACCCAGGCTCTGCTCGTGGGCCTCCAAACCCCTCGCTGTCCCCAGAGTGGGAGCACGCGCTGGAGGGGCGTCGTCTTGTCTCGGCCAGGACTCGGGAAGCGCGAGGCCAGAAGGGCCAGATGCCCAGGAGAGCGGAGCTAGGAAGTCAGAGAAGCAGAATGCGGCCAGGGAATCACTGGGTTCACCCTCCTGGCTTGACCCAGGAGGAGATGGAGCCCCGGAGAGGGGAAGAGAGCGCGCCGCCTCGCGGGCCGCCGTACCCACCGTAGAGCCGGTGGATGCCCCACATCTCGTCCTGGGAGATGGTTTTCTTCCCGGTCAGGGTGGCATTGATGTGCATCAAGGCGTTAGGGTTCAGGGAGTGCATGAGGCCGAGGGCGTGGCCGATCTCATGGGCAGCAATGTGGACCAGGTCTGTGAGCCAGACGCCTGTGAACAGCAGCACAGGACGGGACGAGAACCCTCAGAACCTTGCGCGGCTGGCTCTGTCCTGAGAGACCCTCAGGGCCCAGAGACACCAGATCATGGGAAGGAGAACCTTCTGAACTCTCCCGTCATCCCCCCTTAGCCTGCAAGAGCCATCCCGATCATCTTCATAAAGAAACTCCGACCCTTTCTTACCTCGGGACATTCCACGGCTCCCCAGTGCCTCAGGTGAAGCTCGGACTCAGCCAGGCATTAAACCCCCTCCACAGGCTGACTCCGGCATGACTTCATAGCCTGATCTCTTTCTCTTTCTTTCTCATACGTTCTGCTTTCAATCTAGGCCAGATTTCTAACCTTCTCTGGAATATGTGCTTTCCCACCTCTACACTTTTGCTTATATCATTCCCCTGGCTTGGAATGCCCTCCCTACCTCTGCCTATTCTTCCCACTCATCCTTCAAAGCCAGAGGAGTAGAAAAATCCCCGGATTTGAAATCAGAAGATCTCATTCTGCCTCCTGGTTCTGCTACTTACAACCTACGTGACCTTGGGCAAGTCACTTTTCTCTGGGCCTCAGTTTCCTCCTATGTAAAATGAGGGAGTTGACTTTGTTCAAAGGTTCTTAACCTGGAGTCCATAAGCTCTTTTTTAAAAATATGTTTCAATACCATTAGATAACTTTGTAATCCTATGTATTTTATCTTATGTTTCATAAGGGTCCCCAGACTGCCAAAGGCCCCATGATAAGGGATAAGACAATAGATGAGAAGGTTAAAAATCTCTGCACTGAATGATCCCAATCCTTCCCTAATCTGCCCCCACCTCCTTTACCCACATATCCCTCTCCTCCATCTGAGATCCCACAGTATTTACTTTTTGGTACAGATGTTGGGCTCCTGGAAGGCAGAGACTCTATCTTTTTAGCTGGTATTCCCAGTAAAGAACACAGTGCTGAGGACATAGTAGGTGCTTAATCAATGTTTCTTGAATCCCGCCTTTTATGTGAACAACTATGTCTGTGTCTCGGTTACTTAGGAGACTATAAACTCTCCGAGAGTAGGGACTATGACTTAGCTAAACTTTGTGTTACCCCTAATGCCTAGCATAGATTTCTGCACTTAGTAGGTATTTAATGAATGTTAAGTAAATGAATGGATGGATAGATGGACAGATGGATGAATGTCTGTCTGACTAGATGAATGGATGGATGGATGGATGGATGAAGAGATAGAAAGATGGATAGATGGATGGACAGATAGGTGGATGTCTGCCTTATTAGATGATCAGATGGATGGATGGATGGATGGATGGATGGATGGATGGATGGATGGGTGAATGGATGAAGAGATGGAAGAATGGATAGAAGGACAGATAGGTGAATATGTGCCTGACTAGATGAACAGATGGATGGATGGATAGATGGATGGACAGATAGGTGAATGTCTGCTTGATTAGATGATTGGATGGATGGATAGATGGATAAATGGACCGATGGATGGATAGATAGGCAAATATGTGCCTGATTAATGATCGGATGGATGGTTGGATAGATGGATGGATAGATGGACAGATGGATGGATGCACAGATAGGTGAATGTCTGCCTTACTAGATGACCAGATGGATGGGTGAATGGATGAAGAGATGGAAGGATGGATAGATGGACAGATAGGCAAATATGTGCCTGACTGGATGGATGGATGGGTGGGTGGGTGGATGGATATCTGCCTGACTAGATGAATAGATAGGGATGGATGAGTGGATGGATAGATGAATGGAAGGAAGGAAGAATGAACGAAGCAGCATGATATTTCCATCCTTCTTAGCTTCCTGCTCAAAGATCTCTCTAGGGAGGGGTTCTTAACCTGTTTGTGTCATGGACCCCTTTGGCAGTGAAGGTTATGGACTCCCTCCCTTCTTAAAGTAATGTTTTTAAATGCATAAAATATATGGAATTACAAATGAACTAATTATATTCAAATGCAGTTATTGGAATATTTTTTACAAAACTTCACAGACCCCAGGTTAAGATCTATCCTTCCTCACTCTTTCCCAGCTTCCATCTCCCCTAATCTCTGACAGCCACCTTCCTGCCCACCTCCCCTTTAAGGCTGAGAATACCCCTGGTACAGCACCTGCTGGTTGATCGATCCCTCTTCCCTCCAACAGCCCCTGGGAACCCTTTTCCCTTCTGAATCCTTCCCAGATCCATCAGAACAGAGCTTCTGGCCTCACCCCACTTCCAGCCCCTCTGCTCACGTGGCTCTTGGGGGTCCCCCTCATCTGCAGCAAATCCTATCCTTTTCTTCCATCTAGGTTCCTCTGTGTTCCCCTCCTGTCGTCTGTCTGACCTGGATGCATATCTTGTGTGTCTGACCTATATACACATGTTCTGAGTGTGCACATCTCTCTTGCCTATGTGCGTGCTGTTCATGTCTGTCCTAGACACATGAATCTGCTCTGTACATGTAGCTGACCTACACACGCGTGTCTTCCCTATGCGTGCCTGATCCATACCTGTTTCTTGACCTGAACATGTGTTCTATATGGATGTATGACCTATACCTGCTTGCATGTACGTCTGTTCTGCCTATGTCTGACCTGTACAGATGTTTGTTCTGAGCATGTGTCTGTTCTAGATACCTAGAAAAAGGTCTGGGTGGAGTAAATGATGAGTGACTTTTAAGGAGAGTTCTGGGCAAAGCCCAAACTCCTTGTCAGCTCTGCATGCTACGTCAGATAATCAGGCCCCTTGCTCCTGACTGCAATAACCCCCTGCCCCAAGGATTCCCGAGGCCCATGGCCCCAGGGTGGGCTGGAGAAAAAAATAGTTTTGCTGAGGTTGGCCCCAGCTCCGAGAAATCTGTGGTGATAAACACCCCAGTCTGAGACAACAGAAAGCCAGCTATGGCTGGGGGCAGGGCAGGGGCCGGGGGGGTGGGGGAGGCCAGAGCTGCTAGGCCCGCCTGAGAAGGCAGGACTTTGGTTCTCTCCCAGTCCCGATGATTCTGGCCTGACCACAGGGAAGCTGATGGTGGGTTCCCAGTAATTGAGGTGGTGACATCGGCCCCTAGGAATGTGAGCCCTAGCTAGGAGGCTGGGGTGGGGGGAAGGGGCCCCGGAGTGGAGGAAGGAGGGGATGGAGGGGATGGAGGGATGGAGGGATGGATAATGGGAGATAGAGGGATGGAGGAGGGAGGGTGAAGGGATGGAGGAAGGATCAGGGAATCGGGGACTGGAGAGATGGAAGGAGATGGGATGAGGACATAGAGGCGCTTGGCAGGAGGGCCTCTCCCCTTACCCTTTTTCCAGCTGAAGCGGGTCTCGCCCACAATCCAGTATTCGCTGTCGTCAAAGTGGATCTCCCCGTTGGGGGGGAAGAAGGCGTGGGCCAACTCACCGGTGGTCCCGTCGAAGCATCTGTGCACCAGTGAGCGCAGACAGTCCGTGTGGTTGATGGGATAGAAACCTGAGGACCAGGGGCCGGCCAAGGCTGGGAGGAGTGTAGGACCAAGGAGGTCCCCAGGGGAGGAGGGCTGCCTCCCTCTCTACCCCGCCCCACCCTCCGGGGCCTCAGTTTCCCCAGGGCGAGCGTGGCTTGCCTGGGACTCTGCTGCCCTGGAAACCTTGGGGTCTTCAAACCACAGTGATAGTAAGACCCCAATCCTTTTGGGATTACAAATTGGGATTTCTCGATTACAAAAAGAAAGCATTCTGTGCAACAAGTCGGAGTTAAATATACAAGAATCATAGGAGGGCAATTAGCAACTTGTCCAAGAATCGTTTCTAGCTGAAGAGGAAGGTGAGGAGAGAATAATCATCACCAGAATGACGGCTGAAACTTCTGTAGCATTTTAGGGCTTGCAAAGCGCCCTTACAGGCATGGTCTCATTGGAGCCTCACGATGAGCCTGTGAGGCTGATGGTATAAGCATCTTCACCCCATTTTACAGATGAGAAAACTGAGGCACAGAGGGATGGAGTGATTTTCCCAGGTCACACAGCTAATAATCGAAACAAGATTCAAACCCAGGTCCTGCTGACTCCAAACCCAGTGCCCTCTCTTCTATATCACAGTCTTATATTTCTAAAGAGATGGGGACATCGGTGGGCGCGAACATGCACACGCACACACCAGGGTCCTCAGAAACTGGCACATACACACGGGCACCGATGCTCACCTATCTTCAGGTCACTGGGCAGGTCTGCAGCTACCTCCCTGAAGGTGAATGGGGACACGTCACTCCACATTCGGAAGGCGGCGACCAGACCCCTCCGGGTCTCACTCCTGTTGATAAGGTTTCGGGGATAGGACAAGATCCTGGGGTGGGTAGGGAGAAAGAGATCAGGGGACGCCTCCTTTCCTGCCCCACCCCTTTTCCAACCCCCTTCCCGACCCTCAGACCGTACTTGTAGGTGAGGTTGAAGTGGTCCCAGTGAAGCCGGGATGGGGTGATGGTGTAGCGTTTTGTGCGGGTTTTAGGGGACAACGAGTGTTCTAGGGGAGCCTGGGGACCACTGAGGCTGAGGGGGCCAGGCAAGCTGACATCTTCCTTAAAGAGAACAGAGTCAGAGGAGGCGGCCCCGGGTTGGTCCCCAGGGAGCCGGGGACATTCTTCTCCCCTGGAATCACCAACACCCCCCCTCCCTCGTCCCCTCCCCTACTAGTCAGCAATCTAGGCACCTCCTCAGCTGACCGGAGCCAGGCAGACAGACAGACAGATGGGGCCAGGTCAAACAAAAAGATTCAGGGGAGAAAGGACAGACAGCTGGAGAGAGGACCCAAGGACAGGACAGAGGCAGAAGCAGAGACTGGAGTAGTAAAGACATGGGGAGGGGGGGGGGGGGGGGGAAGGGAACACACTTTATTATGCGCCTACTATGTGCCGGGCACTAAATGCTTTACAAGGATTATTTCATTTGAAAACAGCTGGCTGCCAGGACGGACAGAACACACAGACATTCAGACACGACTCTCAGAGAGATTAAGTCCGAGACAGAGACAGAGAGACGGGACAGCGGGAAGGAAAGTGGGGCGGTGTGTTCTCCGTTCTCACCTGAGTCTCTCTTGCTTTGGGGCCAGCCGCGTCCTTCAGGCTCACCAGCAGAGCCAGGGCAGGAAGGAGGCAGAGCAGACCTAGGAGGGCTCTGTAAGGGGGCGTCCTGGCTGTCCCCTCCGGGGGCTCTGCTGGGGGGCTCACTCCAGGCCCCATGGCCATCTCAGGCCCAAAGCTGGGGCGAAGGTCTCACTCAGGCTGCATGGGCAGGGTTGGAGCCAAGCTGGGTCAGGCCAGGATGGGAGATCGGGCTTAGGGGGAGCGGTGGCCCCTGCCGTCCAGGCGCAGAGAGCCGAGCCTCCAGTCTCCCGAGCTGCTGCTCTGAACAGGCTTGTGTGCACGCTAGCCAAAAGCAAGATCACGTTACTTGGCCGGGCCAGGCAGGAGCTGAGCTGGAGCCTGGAGGAGGGAGAAGGGGCTGGAGGAGGAGAAGAAGGCTGTTAAGGAGAAACAGCTGGGCCCAGGGTCGGCTCCTCCTGCTCCGCAGCTGTGGGGACGGGCTTAGGAAAGAGGGAAGGCTGGGGGTGGGGAGGGGGGGCATTGAGACGAAAGGCTTTCCCTTAAGCTCTCAGCATCCTTTTCCCAGAACTCTAGAGTTTCTGAACGAGTCTGTTCAGAAATCTTCCTCGCTATAGGAACAAAGTCCAAACTTTTCATCCTGGCATTCAATGCCCTCCAGAGTCTGGCCCCAACCTTCCCTGCCAGTCTTATAGATGATCCAGTATTTAGAGTATGAAGGCAGCTTCAAGATCGTCTGATCCAAACCTCTCACTTTTTTAAAATTAAACTTTATTTTCAAACAAAAACCAGCTTTTTCTCCCTCCTACTTCCTTCCCCTCCCACCATTGAGAAAGCAAGAGACACAAAACCCTTGTCACAAACATGCAGAACCCAGCAAAATCAATTCCCACATTGTCCACGTCCAACAAAAAATAACGTCTCAATCTACCCTCCAAGTCTATCTCCTCTCTGTCAGGATGTGGGCAGCATGTTTCGTCATGAGTCTTCCAGAATTGTGGCTGGTCATTGTGCTGATCAGAATTCCTAAGTCTTTCAAAGTCAATTATCTCTAAAATATTGCTGTTAATACATAAATTGTTCTCCTGGTTCTGCTCACTTCACTTTGCATCAGTTCATGTAAGTCTTCCCGGGTTTTTCACCAACAATCATATGCCACAACTTGTTCGGCTACCGCCGCCCCTCCCCCCAGCCACGCTCTCAGTTTCCAATTCTTTGCCACTACAAAAAGAGCTGCTATAAATATTCCTGTGTGTATGGGTCTGTTTCCTGTCTTTGATCTTTTGAGGATAAAGATCTAGTCATAGTATCACTGGGTCAAAGTGTTTGCATGGTTTAATAACTTTTGGGGCGTGGATCCAAATTACTTTCAAAAATGACTGGACCATGTGTTTTCTTTTGCAACATGACTAATATGGAAATATGTTTTGCATGATTGCACATTTATAATCTATATCAAATTGCTTGCCTTCTCAAGAGGAAAGGAGGGAGAGAATTTGGAACTCAGAATTTTAAAAAAAACCTAATGTTAAAATTGTTTTAACATGTAATTGGAAAAATTAAATATAAAAATTTTCACATAAAAAAAAAAAGGGAAGAATTTCCCCCCTTAGCTTTCTGGCTATAACCTTCAGGGAAAAAAACAAATAATCAAAAACAGAATGGCTGGACCAGTTCATAGCCCCACCAACATTGCAGTAATGTACCTACTGTCCCACATCCCCTCCAGCATTTGTCATTTTCCTTTTTTGTCCACTTTGCCAAACTTTGGGTGTGAGGTGGAACCTCAGAGTTGTTTTCATTTGCATTTCTCTAATTATTAGTGAATAAGAACATTTTTATGTGGCTATTGATAGCTTGGATTTCTGTCTCTAAAAACCACCTGTTCATATTCTTTGACCGTTTATTATTAATTGGGGAATGACTTTTATTTGTATAAAGTTGAATCAGTTCCTTCTACATCTTAGAAATTATCAGAGAAAATTGCTGCAAAGATTATTCTCCCCATTTACCTGATTCCCTTCTAATTTTAGTTGCCTGGTTTAGTTTGTACAAAAACCCTTCAATTTTTATATAATCAGAATTTTTACCTCCTGCGACCCTCTCTGTCCCTTGTTTGGTCATGAACTCATCCCCCACCCATAGATCAGACAGGGAATTTCTTCCTTGTTCTTCTGCTTCACGTATGATGTCATCTTTCACAGTTAAGTCATTTGGATCTGAATTTCCTCATTTTGTGGAGGAGGAAACAAAGGTGCAGAGAAGGACTTGTCCAAGGTCACCTAGTGAATTAGTAGCAGAGTTAAAATTTGAACCTAGTCTTCATATATGATTATTCCTTCTATGTGGGTGATGTAGTAGGTAGAGTGCTGGGCCAGGAGTCAGGAGGTGCTGGGTTCAGATCCAGTCTCAGACACTTACTAGCAGTGTGACCTTGGGCAAATCACTTAACCTCCATTTGCCTTAGTTTACTCAATTGTAAAAATAAATTGCATTTTCCTTGCAGGGCTATTGTGAGGATGGAATGAGATAATATTTGTCAAAACTCTTTAGCACAGTGCCTGACACACAGAAGGAGCTATATAAATGCTTTTTTCCTTCCCTTACTTTCCCTTTCCCCTATATACCCTTTGCTCTACCCAGGACCAGCCTCCGCGTCACATTCACCCCTGATTCTGGGCTCTGCTCCACGTGGAAATATCCAACTCATTGTCTCCCCCAGTCTGCCCCAGTTCCACCTCCTCCAGAAAGCCTCCTGGATCTCTCTACCCCATGACACTCACTCTAATTGACTGTGAGCTTGGTACCGTATTTCTCACATCTGAGGCTTGCTTGTCATGGAGGTAATCACTAGTAATCTTGTGTGTCCGGATAATGTTCTCTTAGACCACAACTTGGGTACTCCTTGGGGCAAGGACATACAGTCCCAGAAACCAGGGATAGGGCTGACCAGCCAGCAGGCAGAATGTAACCTCCTTGTCCTCTTCTTTCCAGCACTCACCACAGTGCCTGGTACATAGTAGGCACTTAATAAATCCTTGTTGAATGAATGTTCAATAAATGGAGTGAATGATTGAAGGAATGAATGTGTTTGTAGCCTCTCAGCTATGTGGAAATGACTCTGTTGTGACCGAATGATGGATGGGCCAGTGACAGAATGAACATTTGCAAATGAATGACTATGTATGAGAAATGAATTAATTGGGAATAAGTGAATATGTGAAGGAAGGAATGAATGCAAGCGGATGTGTGTGAGTTGTGAATGAATGCATGAATAAATGAATAAATTCATGAAACCCAATGGGAAATCAGTGCCCACCCATTGTTGCATCCTGAGAGACTAGGGATTACTTGGAAGGGCCTGACGTGACTTCCTTGGCTGCAGTGCACCCTGTCTTCCCACCAAGAGGATATCAGCACCGCAGTGAGGAGGGATGATACCAGGGTGGCAGCTGCTGGGGTGGAGGGTGGGAGTGCCCCCCAACCGGCCCTTTAGGGCCTTCTGTTGGAGAAACCCAGTCAGACCTGGCCCTGAAGAATCCCGCCCTGCGTCCATTTCCCTTGTCTATGTGTAAGCCAGGATGGGGCTGGGGGAGCAGTCTGGTTGGCCCATCCATCTGAAGCCAAAGGGCTAGCTAAAGATTCTTGGAAAGTATGGTTCTTTCCCTGCCTTCAGCCGCCGCCCCGCGCTCTTGGCTGGGTCGGACTCTCCTGGACCTGTTCCCTCCTTCCCTTTCCAAGACCAAATATTTGCTTAGGATGTGGCTTCTCAGGCCAGAGCAGGCTGTTACAAAGACACATGGCTCCCCCGGCCTCCTTGAGGGGTGGGAGGATGGACGAGGGGAGGGTGGACCCTGGCCTGGAGACAATAGGAAGACCCTTGAATTTTACTGCCCAAGGGAGGCTCGGGGTTCAGGCCCTTCCTGGAGAGTGAGGCTGAGATCCCCTAAGGGAGCTGGGGGGCCTCTGGACTCAGAAGCTCTGGACTGGGCAGAGACCCAGACTGGCCATCTGGCCAGCCCCAAGGTATAAGGGCCCTAGATGGGCAAGTGAAAGCAGATGAAATGTGGGTACAGGACAACAAGGAGGGGCCGAGAGGGTACCTTAGAACAGGGGTTCTGAGTCTAGAGTCTGGGAGTTTTCAGATCTGTGAAGCTGAGTGGGGGAAAATTTCATCTTTACTTTCCCTAACGTCTAATTGAAGTTTAGCGTTTCACTTATTTCATTCAAAGCATCGTTCAGAGAAGGGGTCTGCCCATTAACTTCACTAGATGCCAGAGGGGTTCCCGCCCCCCAAAAGGTCCCGAATCTCTGCCTTAGCAGGAGACAGAAGGGGTGAGGTGAGGTGGAGAAGGGAGGGGTGACCAAGAGGGAGAGTGAAGAGGAGAGCGGAAAACCTTGGCGTTTCATTCTCTTTCCTTTGCTCGATTTTTCCAGGGTCAAGGAAAAAAGGATGTGTGAATGTGGAGAGAAAGAGGGAAAGGGGAGAATGGGTCATGATCCAAGCCTGGCCTAGGGGATACAGCTCTGGACTCTGAGTTAGGACAAAGCACACTTACTAGCTGGGTGACCCTGGGCAAGTCGCTTCTGTCCTCGTCTGTGAAATGGGCATTGTTTGTCCTTCTTTCTCAAAGAGGACCATGACATCAGGGAGGTGATGCCATGACACGCAAGTGAATTGGATTACAGTGAGGGAGGGCTGAGCAAAGTCACCAGCCTCACTTTATCCTCCAGAGCCAGCCGGGTCCAGTGGCCAGATACAGATCAGGACGACTAGAGGTGGAGCAGGATGCAGTGGGAGACCTTGGCCTTTTCAAGCTAAGGTCTCTCCCAGGTCTCAGTTTGACTGAAGCAACACCCATTCAGTGATTAAGACTAGGTAAGACATGAGGCAAAGAATGGCCTCTTTACCTAGTCAAAAATTAAAAATAAAATAATTTTTTAAAAAATCGATTCAGGAGGGGTTTCTGGCCAAAACACAAACAACCGCTATTTACATTCACCCTGAACCAATCCGGGCCCAATGACCAAGCGGGGCTTGGCTTGAAAATTTTAGTCTGAAAATGGGGTCGTGACTACCCAGCACCCAAACGTGCCAGCATGTGCTACAGCAACGTTAGCTGGTGTTATTACTCAGGCCTCCCGTCCTCTCAGATAAACCCCAGGTTTGTCTGCCTGCCTGCCTCTCTGGGGCGGTCAGGGAAAGCCCGACCCCATGGAGGGTGGGGGTCGGGACCCAGCCAGGGAACGGTTCTAGACACGCTCTTCTCCCCTTGTCTGCCTGAGATTTCGGAGGCTCCAGGAGAGCAGGTGATCTGCGTGTGTCCAGCACATCCTAGCTTGGGCTCTCTCCTCCAGGCATCCTAAGTTTTCAGGGTCTCCCTCTCTTCCCTTTCCCATCTTCTGACCTTGTCACTGTAGGGGCGGGAGTATCTCTCCCTCCCAGATCGGCTGCATTTCCCTCTTCATCCTTCCCCAATGCTCCCCTCTGGACCCTTGCCTTTAGTGATGAGGGTCCATCCGTGGCAGCTGAGGGAGGGGCCCTAAAGTAAAGTTGGCTGCCCCAGATCTGCGGTAGTGCTGTTCAGAGGGCGGCCCAGCTAGGAAGCACAGGCAATATAGATCATTGGGCCTGGAGTCAGAAGACCTGAATTCAAATCTGACCACAGAGACGCTTACTAGCTGTGTGACCCTGCACAAGTGACTTAACGGCTATCTGCCTCAGTTTCCTCACAGGCAAAATAGGCATAATAACACCTGTCTGCCAGGGCTGTCGTAAGGATAAGCTGCTTAGTACAAGGCTGGTAAATAGTAGGTACCATATAAATGATTATTCCCTTACCCTTTCTTATTCGGTCTTCTGATCGACTCTGCATGACCCCATCTGAGGTTTTCTTGGCAGAGATAGGAGTGGTTTGAATTTCCTCCTCCAGCCCATTTTACAGATGAGGAAACTGAGGCACACAGGGGCAAGTGACTTGCCCAGGGTCACACAGCTGGTGTCTGAGGCTGGATTGGAACTTAGGTTTTCCTGACTCCAGGCCTGGAGCTCCATCCATTGTACCACCTAACTGCCCCACCCCTTAAGTGACCGAACCCTGGGAATGAGCAGCAGTCAGGATTTGAACCCAAGACTCCAGAGCCAGTGCCCTTTCCCCTCCACAAGGCTGCCTCTGGGACACCAAAAATGAGCAGGGAAGTGATGATCTCATCTCCCTGTTGGGCAGGTTATCCCTTCAGGATAACCCAACCTGGAATATCTTCCCTCTCTGCCTCCACCTCCTAGAATTGTAGGCTTCCATCAACTTAGCTCTGGGGCCTCCTATAGGAAGTCTTCCCTGATTCCACCTCTCTCCCCTCCCCTCATATTATGTGGATTTTTGTGCATTTAGAGCCTCCGTCCATTGACGCAGGAAATGCCCAACGTGGACCCGAGCCTGATCCCAGCTTAGTCACAGGACAGGTCAGCCTTGACCAGACATGGCCCTAGAACTCAGAACTCCGGAACCTGCCTCCGGGTTTGCCTCTCACCAGGGATCATCCTCCCCACTCCCCACTAGAATGGAAGCTCCTTGTAGGCAGGGCGCCACTAGTAGACATTTAATCTCCATTCACGCTGGCCCAGCCCTCCAGGGTGGCACTAGGGCCAGATTTTGAGGGCCGGAGGACTCCGGGGATGGGGATAGAGTAGCTGCTGAAGGGCAGGTCTCCAAAGGATCCCCCAATCCTGCCAAGGGAGACGGCTGCCCCCTTGCTCTGTGGTAGGAGCATCATGGGCCAGTTTCATATCCAGGACCTCTATTTAAGTCGAGCTGTTTCCCCTGTAAATTGTCTTATGGGAAGAAGATAAACACACCCATAAAATCCAAGCCAGGAGATGGAAGGTCCTTAAGATCATCTGCATTCACGTATACGTGTGTGTGTATGTGTGTGTGTGTGCGTGTGTGTGTGTGTGTGTGCTGGGGACAATCAGGGAGACGGGCTTTCAGCGGTCCGGTGGAAATGGCCTTGGAGTCGGGCCTGGAATTTGAAGGCCCCACTTCCCCGCTCTGGGCCTCGGGGGCAGTTAAGACTCTGGAGAACCAGGGGCCCTTCCAGCTCCGGGATCCTGTGTGTGCTTCCTCGAGGGGCCACATTCAGGAGCCATGTTCCAGGCCTAGGGATGGGCAGGGGACCGGCGGGAGAGCGAGGCTGGGCACAGAGCCCGGAAGGCCCCAAACGCTCAGAAGGGGCTAGACCAACGGCTTGAGGAGAGACAATCAATGCAGGACAAAAGGAAAACTAAACCAGCGGTCAGGGAAAGATGAAAGACGGGGCTGGGGGCAGGGAAGCCACGCCTGCTGCAGAGCAAGATGACCTCTCCCACAGGAGCAGGCTCCACGGAGGCCCGGGCCCCTGAACGATGCCACCGCTGAGGCCGCGGGAAGCCCAGAGGCCTCTCGAGCGAGTGAGCCAGGGCCTGGGAGCTGGAGACTCCAGTGAGGCCAAGTGAGGCCAGGGAACTGGAGGGCTTCCCAAAGACATCAGTGGCCAAAACAAACATGGCCCCCGGGGAAGCCAAGGCCCACAGGGCTGGGCTGGTTGAGGCTGAATACGTCGGAAAGGAGGGCAGTCCACGAGGAAGCCTGCCCCGCACGGAGGGACCTGAAGCTTCGTGACGCGGCCCACCAAGATCTCTCCAAACAGACCCTCGACCCCAACTCCCCCCGCCAAGAAGAGGCAGACACCAGGAAGGACAAAATTCATTTTTCCTTTTATAAAATGCGTGTGTGTGTGCGCGTGTGTGTGTATGTGTGTCTGTATGTTGAGGGGAGTTTTTGCAAAGGCAGATACTGGAAAAATGGCTCTTATGTAACAGGACACAGCTGGTACCTGGGCTGGGGGAGATCAGACAGCCAGCACGGGGACGCGGGGGTCACAACACACACGCCACACACCGAGAGCTCACGGGGCACAGACGTCTGCAGGCCTGAGTCCCCGAAGCCCCATGGGCCGCACAGGCCGTCGAGGGGCCGAGGGGGAAGGGGACCCCTCCCCCACTCCCGCAGGCCCCAGGCCCGCCCCCAGCTCAGTTCCCAGCCTGCCCAAACCAACAAGCAGGGGCGGGAGCTGCCCCCGGCATGGCGTGGCCCCGAGAGCCCGGAGGGGCCGTGGGCGGGTGGCCGGCGTCCGGCCTGCTCAAGCTCCACGTGAGCTGAGAGCCCTCTCCGGCCTGCCCGCCATGCTGTGCCCCTCCACGTAAAGTGCAAAATCCCTGGACGCCGCCCCGCAGCCCCTTCCTGCCCACACCCTGGGCAAGGGGCCCACGGACACACTCAAGCACAAGGGCCCGGCAGCGGCAGTCCGAGGCCACTGCCTTCCCGAGGCCGCAGAGGCCCGGCCTGAGCGCTGGCGCCCACCGGGTGCCCCGGCCCCTCGCCGGGTCGGGCGGCCTCCGCCCGAGTCCTCACGCGGCTCTCAGACAAAGATCTGGATGCGGTCTCGGATGGCCTGGCGGCAGATGGGGCAGACGCGGAGCGCCGCGCTGCACTCAAGGCAGGAGCCGTGGCCACACTGGAACACCAGGCGGATGTGGCTGTCGATGCAGATGGGGCAGGTGATGCGCTCCTCCATCTGCCGATAGCGGCTCTGCAGCTCCTCCATCAGCTGGCGCTGGCCCGCGCACTCCAGCCCCGACAGGCTGCTTTCCACCTCCGTGCTGTCTGGGGGCCGAACGCGGGGGCGGGGAGGGGGGAGGAGGAGGTCAGAGGGGCTTCTCGGCCTCCATGCAGGCACCCACCCCCAGGTGAGCCTTCCCCCCCGCCCCCGCCTCCTCCTCCCTCCCCTCCCCCCACCAAAGGGGAGCCCCCCACCTTGCCTAAGCTTCTTGCTGATCGTCACTTGGCAGCGGATGCATTTTTTCATCCTGCGGGAGCACTCTGAGGGCAGAGCGGAGAGGCCAGCTGGGCGCTAGTGCGGGGCAGAGCCCGTCCCTCCCCGTGTCCCTCGTCCCTCCCCGAAGGCCCCTCACCTTCGCACACGATGCTGTGCTGGCAGGGCTGGAAGAGCACCAGCAGGGCCAGGTCCGAGCAGACTAGGCACTCAGAAGGCCCGGCCCCGGGCCCGCCGCAGCCCGCCCCGCCCACGCTCAGGTTGGTCATGGTGTTGGGCGTGCTGTGCATCCTCCGAAGCCCGCAGCTCCTCCCCGCGCTGCCCAGAGAGCCCTGCTGCTCCCTGCCATGGATGGGAAGGGAGGTGGGGAGAGAAGGGTCACCGGCCTGGTGGGCAGTGAGGGCTTGGGCCCAGCCTCCCCCCAGCCCTCCAGCCCCAATCCCACCTGAACCTCTGGGCAAAGCTGCGAATGGCCTGGGCCCCCCGTCCATCCGTGACCACGTCCAGGGGGCACTTGCCCCGGTGGTTGGCATAGTTCACGTCTGCGCCCTCTTGGGCCAGGAAGCAGGCAATGGCGATGCCCACGGTCAGCTCTGTGCTGCCCAGGAAGCTGGAGGCCTGGAGCTGGGAAAGGATGGGTTGGGTAGCAGAGAGCCCTCGTGGGGCCTGCTACAGGGGCCTGCAGCAGCCTCAGTCCCCCAACCCTGCGGCTCGGACAGAGCCAAGGTCCCAGGAACAACGTGTCAGTGAGCGTGGCCTCCTGCCAGCGTCCACCTCAGGCCTGCCTGCCTCCCGGGCACGGCTCATTAGCTCTTCTAATTAGAAAACAGGCCCGGAGCCTCGATGGGTGGTGGCTCCCCATGGGCATGCTGGGGAGGGCGATGCAGGAAGACCAGGAGAGCCAGCCCCAGAGCTCTGGGGTTGACGGGCCCAGGGGGCAGGAATTCCTGGGCCCCAACTCTGGGCTCGCCCTGAGAGCCAGCCTCACCACAGCCCCTGGCAGCGCCGCCCCCCTCGCCCAAGACCTGCTGGCTTTCCCCAAAAGAAGGCTGAGCTGGCAATGAGGGCCAGAGCAGGGGAACACAGAATGGGGCTGGCACCCGTCTGGAGGCCTCTTTCCTGAGCTTCGAATACAGGGCCTTTTCCTAAGCCAGGAATTTTATGTAGGGGAAAAAAGGAAAAACAGCTGGCACGAGGAAAAAGGCTCCTTGTGTAGCCCAGGGCTGTGAGCCGTGCTGGGGTGGGGAGGATGACAGCTGAAGATGGGGAAGCCTGGGCTCCTGAAGTCTGTGTGCAAGGGAGAAGGGGCCTAGCCACGATCAACTAACTGGCGCACGCCCATTTTACAGAAGGGAGACCGAGGGCAGAGAGGGCAGCCACGTCCAGGGCTCTCGGTCCCAGTGCCCCATGTCCTACCCTGGAGAAGAGCGAGGCCCCTTCACCAGCACCGGTGGCCTCGGCCAGAGGTGCCAGCAGCTGGTGTTTCTCCAGGGCAATGTGCATGGCGGTGTCCCCGGCCTCGTCCTCGGCGTTGATGTCACTGCCGGCGCTCACCAGCAGGAGCAGCAGTGCCACGTGGGCCTGGGTCACCGCCAGGTGCAGCGGCAGCTGGTGGCGGTTGTTACGGATGTTCACGTCACAGCGGCCCTGCAGGCAGAGGCAGCCCAAGGCGTCAGGTTCCCGCCTTTCGCTTTGCCTGGCCCTGAACTAGGCACAATGAGCTCCAGCTGAACCAGGCCCCTCCTGGGCTGGTCAGCTGGGGCAGCTCCCCCCTTGGTATGACCCAGAGGCCTCCGAAGGCCACACATCCCACCTTCCAATGCCAGAAGCTGCTGCAAGGCAGCTCTCCTGAGCCCCCGCAGGCCTCTGCTCCTTTGACCAATCCTAGCGCATGGCCTGCCCCTCAGGGTCACACAGCTGGGACCCAGTTTTGCCGCAGGACCTCTCGCTTGGGGGCACCCTGGGCGCTTCCTGTCCAGCCCTCCGCCAGGTCCCACCTCTTTGATGAGGATCTCCGCCACCTCCCGGTGGTTATTGAGGGCCGCAAGGTGGAGGGCCGTGAAGCCATCATCCTTTTTGGTATCTACTAGCTGCCGGGCCCGGGCCAGGATTCTCCTGACGGCTCTGCTAAGAGGAAAGTGGCTCATGGGGGCCCTGGGCAGGGACCTCAGGCTCTGCCACTTGCCCAGAGGCCCAGAGCAGACGGCATCAGAGATAGGATCTGAACCCAGGGCCAGGGCTCCATGCAGTGCAGCAGAGGGCTCCCTGAACTAGGGCTAAGGGGAAGTCTCCTGATCTGCTGCTCCTGATTGGTAGGGACCCTCCAAAGCTCTCCTTGTCAGAGCCCACCCTGGGGCCACCCCAAAAAGCTGGCATCTGGCCTGAGGAGGCATGGGCAGGAACCTGTAAGTGGGAGGGCTCAGGGCACCCTCAGGGCATCACGGCTCTTGATCCATTCACTCACCCACCCCTCAGGGAGATGAGGCCCCCAGCCAGCCTTCCCCTTCCTGCCCCAGCCTGCCTTCCATATCGCCCGCTCCCAGCACTCCTGGCCCCACTCACAGCACGTTGCCTTTGAGCGCTGCGTAGTGGAGAAGGTTGAAGCCTTGGCAATTGGAGGCAGTGAAGTCAATAGTGGGCACCTCAGTGAGGATCTCAATGATGCCCTTGGCATCTGCTGAGATGGCACAGTGCAAGGGGGTGTCTCCATACATGTCCTGCAGGAGTGCCAAGGACTCAGCTCAGGCCCTGTGCCTGTGGATTTGATGCCCATGGGGTGCAGGGCAAGGTAGAACCAAACAGGCCCCTGCAACCCAGAGGGGGCCATCCACATCCCCAGGGTAGCCCCTTCCTAAGGCCCGGCCCCCTGAGGATTTATAGCAGGGAATATGCTCCAGGCCATGACCACGGGGGCCAGGTTTGCTGTGAGGATCCGGTGAAATCACGTGTATGAACCCATTTGCCAAACCACAAATACTATATCAATGAGAGTGAATTCGGTGGGTTGTCACCAAGCATGGCGAAGAAGGGGTGGGTGGGCCAGAAGAGAGGAGGGGAAGCAGGGGAGATCAGAGCACAACGTACAGGAATATTGACATCACAGCCCTGCTCACACAGGACACGCGCCACCTCCAGGAAGCCCATGTGGACAGCCAAGTGCAGGGCAGTGCACTTGGCATTATTGATCAGGTTGGCATTCGCCCCCTGGCTCAGCAGCACCCGGGCCACCTCAGCCTGGTTCCTGGATGAGAAGAGACCCGGGAAGCATTGCTGAGTGTGGGGGAGGGCGGCCCTGAGGGGCCATGCCCACGCACCCGCCACCCTCCTGGGCACCTTACCCAAAGGCCGCGTAGTGCAGCGCGGTGTCTCCCTCGTCATCCCGCACGTCTACGCCCGCGTGGGCCTGCAGCAGCAGCCGCAGCAGCTCCACCTGGCCCAGGTGGGCAGCCACCTGGAGGGCCGTGCGACCTTGGTTTCTGACATCCACCTGCAGGGTGGGGATGGGATCAGGCCATGGCCAGGGGAGCTTTCCCGGCCCCCTCCCCCAGCAGGGCCAGACTGACTCCACAGCTGTCTTTGGTCTCACACCACCATCCCTTGTAACAGACAATAGAAAAGGAAGAGGGAAAGACAGCCCCCCCAGAGGGGGGTCCTGAGTGGGTGGAGGCAGGTGTGGACGAGGCCTTGGGGGGCCGGGGACGTACCTCCAGGGCTGGGCCTGAGGGCATGTCTGCCGTGAGGGAAGGTTCAATATGCCTGTGCGTGTGTGCGTGTATGTGAGTCTGTGTGTGTGTGTGTGTGATATGTGTGGGTATACCTGCATCATATACACAAGAGCATCAGTAAACATGAACAAAAACCCCCAAACAGGTTGAGCCTCGGACCCCCAGGATGCCTCTGTGTTCACAGCCCCCCGTGCTGGTCCCCGCTGCTTCCCATGACTCTTTGCAAAACATTTCATCTTCGAGTGGCTTAGCACACAGTAGGTGCTATGTAAATGTTAACTATGATAATAATAATAATGATAATTATTATCCAGGAAACAGTGGAGGCCGAGGTCTTCCAGCAGCTGTCAGGATTCTTTCTCCCCTGGACTCCCCATCCACCCCAGGGCCCGGGTCTGCACACGCATGGTGTCCTCAGAGCCATTTCTGGAAGGGAGGGGCCCCCCTGCCAAGCCCTGTGTCCTCCGGGCGGGCTCCTGCCTTGTCTGGATGCCTCTTCAGCAGCTCCAGCACCCTGGCGACGTTGCCGTGAGCCACCTCGGTCACCAGCCTCCCCGGCTGCTCAGGGTCACTCTTCTGGGTAAGCAGCTTCTCCAGGACAGAGCCCAGGGAGCCTGGGGGAGCCCAGAGCCTCGGTGAGTCCTGGGGAGCCCCAGGCGACCCTCTGCCCACCCTTGGCCCGGGATGCCGCCGGCCTCAGCCCCCATGCCGTGGGCCATGGGGGGAGGGCCTTGCCTGCAGGCGCCCACTGCTCCCTTACTCTTCGGCTCCTTGGTGCTCTCTGCCACATTCAGGTTGGCGTCCGCCTCCAGGTGGTATGCCGTCAGGCAGGCGGGGTTGAAAGTCCAAGACTGACCACCGACAGACACCCTCAAGTCTCCGTCCCCAAAAACCTTCATCACTTTCCCAATGTGCCCCAGGGCCTGTGAAAGAGAATGGGGGTCAGGAGAGCAGCGGTTCTCTGGGATTCTGACTGGGGGCAGCAGAGGAGGCTCAGACAGGCACAGGAAGGGAAGGCTCCTGGAGGTGACCTGGCAGGAGGGCCGGACAACAGGCCAGGGGAAGGCCCAGTGGGAGGGCCAAACAACAGGCCGGGGGAAGGCCCGGCGGGAGGGCCAGACAAGGCTCGCAGGGGAAGCCCGGCAGGAGGGCTGGACAACAGGCCAGACGAAGGCCCGGCAGGAGGGCCAGACAAGGCTCGCAGGGGAAGTCCGGCAGGAGGGCTGGACAACAGGCCAGGGGAAGGCCCAGCAAGAGGGCCAGACAATGGGCCAGACAAGTCTCCTTGGGGAGGCCC